AGGCTGGAGCGTAGTGGCACAATCTCGGCTCACTGTAACCTCCGCTTCCTGGGTCCAAGTGATTGTCCTGCCTCAGCCTCCTGAGTAGCTGGGATTACAGGCATGCACCACCATACCCAGCTAATTCTTATATTTTTAGTAGAGATGGGGTTTGGCCATGTTGGCCACGCTGGTCTCAAACTCCTGAGCTCAGGTGATCCACCCACCTTAGCCTTCCAAAGTGCTGGGATTACAGGTGTGCCCCACAATACCCAGCCAACAATTTCTTTATCCATATATCTATTGATGGATATGTGGGTTGCTTCTACCTCTTGGCTACCACAAATAAAGCTATGATAAACAGGGGTATGCAAATATCCTTTAGATGTGCTTTGAATTATTTTGGATATATATCCAGAAGTGGAACTGGTAAATCACACTGAATTCCATTTTCAATGTATGTATCTACTTATTTTCTGAGAGTTTCACTCGTTACCCAGGCTGAAGTGCAATGGTGTGATCTTGGCTCACTGCAACCTCTGCCTCCCAGGTTCAAGTGATTCTCCTGCCTCAGCCTCCCAAGTAGCTGGGATCACAGGCATGCACCACCACGCCCGGTTAATTTTGCATGTTTAGTAGAGATGGGATTTCTCCATGTTGGTCAGGCTGGTCTCAAACTCTTGACCTCAGGTGATCAACCCATCATGGACTCCCAAAGTGCTGGGATTACAGGTGTGAGCCACCGCACCCAGTCTATTTATGTATTGTTTATTTTTGTGAGACAAGGTCTTGCTCTATCCCACAGGTGGGAGTACAGTGGCATGATCACAGCTCACTGCAGTCTCCATCTCCCCAGGCTCCAGCCATCCTCCCACCTCAGCTCCTGAGCAGCTGAGACTACAGGCATGTGCCACCACCAAGCCTGGCTAGTTTTTTTTTTTTTAATAGAGACAGGGTTTTGCTATATTGCCCAGGCTGGTCACCAACTCCCAGGATCAAGGGATCCTCCCGCCTTGGCCTCTTAAAATCCTGGGATTACAGGTATGAGCTACCACACCTGGCTGCTATCATTTAAAGTTCTTTACCTATTTTTTAATTGAGTTATCTGTAATCTTATTATTGAGTTGTAAGAATTCTTTGTATATTCTGAATCCAATTTGCTTCTCAGATATACGATAAGCAAATATTTTATTCCAGTATATGAATTGTCTTTTTAATTTAAAAACATTTTTTTTAATAACACTGAGAGTAAGGTATTATTTTTGGTTTCAAGACAGTCTTGCTGTCACCCAGGCTGTAGTGCAATGGGGTAATCTCGGCTCACTACAAACTCTGTCTCTCAGGCTCAAGTGATTCTCCTGCCTCAGCCTCCTTAGGAGCTGCAACTACAGGCACACAGCACCCCAACAGGCTAATTTTTGTATTTTTAGTAGAGATAGGGTTTCACCATGTTGTCCAGGCTGGTCTCAAACTCCTGACCTCAGGCGATCTTTCCACCTTGGCCTCCCAAAGTGCTGGGATTACAGCTGTGAGCCACCATGCTCAGACTAATTTTTTATTGTTTTGAGACAGGGTCTTATTCTGTCACCCAGGCTGGAGAGTAGTGGCACAATCGTGGCTCACTGCAGCCTTGACCTTTCAGGTTCAGGTGATCCTCCCACCTCTCAGCCTCTCGAGGAGCTAGGACTACAAGTACATCCCACCATGCTTGGTTAATTTTTGTATTTTTTTTGTAGAGTCAGGGTTTTGTTATGTTGCCCAGGCTGCGAAAGTCTCAGATGTCTGGGTTCAAGGAATCCTCCTGCCTCAGCCTCCCAAAAGTGCTTGAATTACAGGCATGAGTCATGCCTGGCCTTTATTTTTATTTTTAATTTATTTTATTTATTTGAGACACAGTCTCACTCTGTCATCTAGGCTGAAGTGCAGTGGCGTGATCTTGGCTCACTGCAACCTCTGCCTCCTAGGTTCAACCAATTCTTCTGCCTTAGCCTCCCAAGTAGCTGGGACTACAGGCATGCACCACCATGCCCAGCTAATTTTTTTTTATTTTTAATAGAGACAGGGTTTCACCATGTTAGCCAGGATGGTATTGATCTCCTGACCTTGTGATCTGCCTGCCTTGGCCTTCCAAAGTGCTGGGATTACAGGCGTGAGCCACCGCACCCAGCCAACTATTTTTATTTTTGAGACAGTGTTTCACTCTGTTGCCCAGGTTGGAATGTAGTGGTGTGATCTTGGCTCACTGCAACCTCTGTCTTCTGGGCTTAAGCAATTCTCCAACTCAGCTTCCCAAAAAATAGCTGTGACCTCAGGCATGTGGCATCACAGCTCGCTAGTTTAATTAATTTATTTATTTTGGTAGAGATAGCAGTCTTGCCATGTTGCCCAGACTGGTCTTGAACTCCTGGGCTCAAGTGATTCCCCTGCCTTGGCCTCTCAAAGAGCTGGGATTATAGGCATGAGCCACACTGCACCTGGCCAGTCTTTCTCATTTCTAAAGCCTACTGGGACTGACAAGGATTCTGTTGAATCTATAGATCAACTAGTGGAAAAATTGGTTTTCTACTCAAACTAGCAGGGAAAAAAAAGAAGAAACTATTAGTGACGTGCTCTGTATATGTGACAAAAGTAATGTTTCAGAAAAGATAATATCCAATAAGTATTTAAATTAACCTTCTGCAATATTGGTGTTTCCTTTAAAAAAAAAAAAAAAAGGTGCTTATCTTTTAAAAATATATACAGTACTGAACCATTTATGAATGAAACAGAATGTTGTCTGGGATCTAATTCCAAACAATCTGGGTTGAAGGAGTTAAACCTAAACGAGATTGGCCACATGTTAATTATTGAAGCAAAGTGATGGATGTGGCCGGAGTGCCCCATTATTCTCTCTAGTTTTGTATGTTTGAAAAACCTCATAATAAGAACATCAAACAAAACGTTAGTCTAGTGTCAAGACATGGTAGTATCCTTAGATTTTTTTTCCCTAGAATTAACACTATGGCCTAAACTAATCTGTCAACAAGACTTAAAAACTCACCATTTAGTAATACACTCACCAGTAATTGCCCCATTCAATCATGGTTCCTGGCTGAAAACAGATTTAGATTTGGTTTGTTAGTTCTTCTGTGGAAAAAATACAGAAACAGCAAATAGCAGTATAAAAAAACATTAAGTGACAAAACTACTTTAAAAAAACCTTTTTTTTTTTTTGAGACAAAGTCTTGCTCTGTTGCCCAGGCTGGAGTGCAGTAGCTCAATCTCAGCTACTGCAACCTCTGCCTCGAGTTCAATTGATTCTCCTGCCTCAGCCTCCCGAGTAGCTGGTATTACAGGCGGCTGCCACCATGTCTGGCTAAGTTTTTGTATTTTTAGTAGAGACAGAGTTTCACTGTGTTGGCCAGGCTAGTCTCAAACTCCTGGCCTCAAGAGATCCACCCATCTTGGTCTCCCATAGTGCTGGGATTATGGGAGTGAGCCATTGCACCCAGCCAAAACTTTATTTTTTAAATTTAATAGAGACAGGGTCTCACTATGTTGTTTAGGCTGGTCTCAAACTTCCAGGCTCAGGCGATCCTTCAACCTTGGCCTCCCAAAGTGTTAGGATTACAGGTGTTAGCCACTGTACTTGGCCTGTATCCCTTTTAATGATGCTGTTACATGGGGCTTTCTTTCTAGTCCTCAGTAGGAAAATGTCTAGAAAGTGTTATGAAATATTATTGCCCTTTATTCTTATCACATTGTATAATTTTTCAACAGTTACAATATTGATTAGCTGCTCTCGTTTAACCACAATAGATGGTGCATATTGTACTTCGTCCTGCACTTTAGGTCTTTCTTCTTAAAAACAGAAATGCTAGGCCGGGCGTGGTGGCTCAAGCCTGTAATCCCAGCACTGTGGGAGGCCGAGGCGGGTAGATCACGAGGTCAAGAGATCGAGACCATCCTGGTCAACATGGTGAAACCCCGTCTCTACTA